AGAAATAATTTATTTAAAGATTACAAAGTAGAATTTAATGATGAAACATCAGTTCAAGTACATGGTAGATTATTTAGAGAATTTAATTTCTTTGTTTATGCAGTTGATGTTAAAGAATTAAGACCAGTTGATAAGGAAATTGCACAATTATTAGATTCATCCATTAAATCATCAATGAATATTATGTGTAACAAATTACAAGAAAATGCAAAGAATTTAGCTGAAAAGGAAGAAATTCAATCTCAAATTGAATTTGCAAAATTGAAAAAGAATTTAATTCAAATCAAAAATTCAAATATGCAAAAAGAAAAGATTGAAAAATCAAGAATTGAAGGTCAAGCTAAAATTGAAAGAGAAAAGGCTGAAAATGATTCAATTTCTTTATTGAAAAAGGCTAAATATGATAGTGAATTGAATCAAATTAAGGAAACTATGCAATTATTAGATGGTGATAAGGGTGATTTATACATTGAATATGTTAAATTAATGAATGCAACAAAGAATGTTAGAAAGGCTACTATTGTACCACAATCTACTCAATTGAAATTAAATGTTACTCAATATTAGATGATTATCAAACAACAACCAACAAACAACAAGAGGAATGAGTTGTAGAAATCAAGTTGTTTAATATAATTTTTATATAAATTTATATTTTTAACATGTTAGAGACTTTCTATTCTTTTGTCACAACATAATTCCTTTTTCAATTCAAAGCAACAATCCGTCATCAAATTTAATTAGGTTTTAAAACAAAGTGCCAATAAGAGATGCAGAATGGATTGGAAAAATAAGTATAATATCCTTTGCTTGTTTTTTGATTAAGACATGATTTTTCTTGATGAATTTGTTAATTGCAACCATCAGTTAGAAACAGCTTGTTTTCCGTAGATAGAGAGAGGTAAGTGAAAAATTTCAAGTCAAGAAATATTCTAACATTTAAAGCCATAAATAATTAAAAGTGGTTGGAATGATGGAAATTGAACCTTCTTTCTATTATCAAGCAGACTTGGGTGACTCAAACAAGAGCAACACAATAAAAAGTTGGTGTGTAATTAAAAGGTAAAAAATTTAAAAGGAATCTTGAGAAAAAAGCCACAAGTTACTGGTAGCAGTTGTGAAATCAATGTGATTGTTAGAATCATCATCCTCTACAATGGCTAACCAGGTTCTGAAGTCGAATCTGGGAGTCAAAACTTTAATTTCTTGTTCGTCTGATTCAGTTGGTTGGAGAAAAGTAAGAGCTAACCCAAGCAATACCTAAGTAAATATTATATTACTGATAATCATAGAATCGTAACAAGCAAACACTTGGATATTGATAATCATTATACTAGTACACGATTATGTTAAATATATACATGTGGTTGTACAGATCAACTTACTACAGATACATCAGATGCTGACTTTTAACAACGGTTTCGTAATGAATATGTCAAATGAATGCTATTAACTAGTAAAGTTTATCATTAACTTTGGAGCTGTGTTTGTAGATAAAGAGGAGCTTTCCACTTCTGATAAACGGTATCAACAATCTTAGATATCTTGGCTTATAATACACGAAATAACATACAATATTTTGAGCATATACCCAAACCTGTACTAATGACGGAATAGTGTAACTTTGACATTTGGTGGTAAGAAATTGTATCGGTGTTCTGTTATGTACGATAAACATTAAGATAAATACGAACCTATTGGTTAGTGTATGTTCATATTTCAAGCTTTTTAATACTCGTTGCATAAATTTGAGATAACACTAAATAAAATCTGTTCTGGAACTTTGTTTTATTGGAGTTAATTTGTTACAATGTACAACAATCATATAATGATTCATTGAATCATTTATCATATTTCAATAATGTAAAGAATATTCTCGAACAATTTTTGTCTAACAATGCTAATGCTGGTAATATTGATACAAATTTACTCGTTCAAGTTTCTTATAGTTCCTATGCCGGTCCATTCACTAAGGTGGACAAACCATTCCCTATTTCGAATGTTGATTTAAATTTACACTACAATACTCAATCTAACGAACTCAGTATCATTTATCAAAATAACTTGTTCACAGAATTGAGAATGGCTGAATTATTGAATCAATTGAAATTAGTTTCTGAACAAGTATTGTCGAGTAATTGCAATGTCTCTATTTATGATATCAGTTTGGTGACTGAATATGCCAAGAAGGTTTTACCACACCCTGATAAAGCTTTGAATAACGATTTCGTTGGTCCAATTCATGAAATTTTCCAAGAACAAGCTAAACAAACACCAGATAGAATTACCATGGTTGATAATCATGAAAGTGTTACCTTTGAACAATTGAATCGAGTTTCCAATCAGTTATCAAGACACTTACTTCATAAGGGATTGAAGAGACAGGAGGTTGTGACAATCTTTGGTCACAGATCTTGTCCAGTTGTGTTGGCCATCTTGTCTACATTGAAATGTGGTGCAATTTTCAACATGTTAGATCCTGCTTATCCAGCCGATAGAATTATCACTTGTTTGGAAGTTTCAACACCATCCGCAGTTATTTTAATTGAAGCTGCTGGTCAATTACCAAAGTCTGTCATTGATTTTATCAATGAAAATACCAAGTTTGTAACAGTATTGAAATCCATGACTGATATTCTTAATGAGAATGTCTACTCTGATTATAACGATTCCAATTTGAGCGAAGATCCAACTTTGAATGTTAAAATTACACAAGATGACTTTGCTGTTTGCACCTATACATCAGGAAGTACTGGTATTCCAAAGGGTGTTTTGGGAAGACACGGTCCTCTCACTCACTATTATCCATGGATGAAACAATATTTTCCTATTACACTGTTTCACAGGCCCAAAATATTTGGACTGGATATCTTTAATATTATAAATAAATATTTTGTTAAATACTATTTTGTAAAAATTACACCAACAATATAACAAAAAAAATGGAAATATAATTATATTGGACATTTTCATCATATGATTTTACAACAACAATAACAAAATTCCAAAAAAAAACCATATCATTGTAATAATAATATTTAAATATTATTTATAGGTTTACAAAATTCACAACCATCTCCAGGATTTTCTGAAAAGGATTTTCCAATGTTTGTGTTTTAAAATCACATTAGAACACAAAAAGATTTTTGTTGTTGTTGTGGATGTTGAATAGCACCAGTAGCAGTCATGTACTTGGATCTAGAGGAATTATTCTTGTTAGGATCAATGTTACCATCATCATGGCCGAGTAGATTTGTTGATTGATGGATACAGGGTATATACTGTTGTTAAGCAAGGCAAAACAACAAGAAAGAAGTCGATAACCATCAATACCGGATCGGTAGATTGCATCAATAGGATGATCATTGTCCAAACAATACCAAAAAGCACCAAATGATCATCATTACCATCATATTATCAAATGTGTTATTATTGTTGTTGTAAGATGTTATTATTCATCATTATTATACATTGTTGTTATATATTTAAACCATCAATCAGAACTTGAGTGTCATATAACTTGAGTGTCCGCTATACCTGTTAATACACATGAGAACAATATGCTAACACACAACCAGAATGAACTCAGCTTATTTTGTTTCATTGAAAAGTGTTAGTTTTCAATCATTAATGATTGTCGGAACTATTTCCCTTATTTCTCATCAAACTAGTGGACTTGTAAACAAAGNGTGTAATTACAATAAAATTTTCGGCGATACTGTTTTTATTAGCGTGTAATTGTA